TTGCTGCCAGTTTGTCAAGTCACTATGTTAAAGTAATGAGTCAAGCAGTCAATTTGTCATTTATGTTATTCGAAATAATTAGATGACTATATAAATTTTGCACCATTAAGATTAGTGAACGAACTTGGACTCACATTCATTCTGACGACAAGGACTGCCCCAAATTACGCCATTGAGCATACATTTTTCATCTTTAATTGACAATGTTCCCACTGGTCTTGCATTAGAAGTAACTGCCACCTAAAAGCAATGAGTGCGCTTGTGAGAAAATCCCATTCTATCTTTGTTTAAATTTGCCGGAAAAGACTTAGCAGTAATGGGATTACTTATCCAAGCAAATAATCCACTTATTCTAGAGATCGGCTCGCATATTCTGTTTGAGAATTCACACGTCCATTTTAATGTATTAATGCACATACCAATTGTCCACCATACTGATAATGCTTTACTTTGGCTTGCCTATAACGCGAGAACCCCACAACCTTAGGTTTTGCTCTTCGCAAACAAGAAAGTGCTTTTCTCTCTACCTCCTCACCCATGCGCAATGAATGACGAACAATGAAGACCAGCAAAGGATCGAGAAATGCAGGCAATGAATTTGACGCACATTTGAAAAATATGCCACGGAGAGCAGAACTGCAATTGTCTCCAGCATGATCTGCGCCTATGCTCTGAGAAATACCTGTTGTGTATACGTCTGCTAATGATCTCGCAAATTACATTGGAGCCCTTTTCACGCTCCATCTGCCACAATTGTGATGATGCTTTTCTTCAAGAAGACATCGTATTTGTAAACTTAGAAAGTACATCGCGCGTACTCGCCTTTCCAAAGTGCGTATGACTTAGAATGTCAAAAAAGACATTTTAAAAAAAATACGCTTATGAAGATGAAGCTCATAATGGAGTAGTAAATGCTTACAATAATTTCAATTGTAGCCAAACTCTCTAACATCTTTGTTATTCTCATTTCGCTCTGCTGACAGATTGTAGTTCATGGCACAGACAAATTTGAGAATCTGTTTTAAGAGCAGACAATCATCTTTCATCTAGTGAAAAGTGATTTCAACCAAAAGCAAGCAGGCAGTGAAGAAACCGCATCCTAGGCAGTTGAGGTCCTTGTTGAACCAATGCAAATTCAAAAGAGGCTTCATTTGGAAAGTAGGCGCACATCCTTTTAGCGAAAACTGTGAGTCTGCATCCGACAATGTCTCCCACAATGGCACATTTGCTTTTTTAACTTGTATTGCTGCACATTTTATTGCGGCTTCTATCCTTCCGTCAAAGTGGGTTATAGATGTAATTTAAGTCCAAGTCTACGCAATTCTCCGGTTCGTGGAATGCCGATGCGACCATCGGGGACAAGGATTCATTAGTACAAAGGCGGATGCCTGATTTTAATAATGCAATTTAACTCACTCAAATTTTATTATTAAGTATGGCGAATAGACGGGTTTTGCAAAGACAAATTCGTGCATTATTCGGCTGCTTGCATTAATATTGAGCAATTGTTCAGCACCTGTGGGCATTTGCCACAGGACACCTTTCCAGAAGGAATCTGCATTCGGTTCCGAGCTATCATGTGCAACATTATTTTCTGGTAAAAATTTCATGCCGAGTGTTGGACATCGCAGGGTTCCTTGCAAAGTGGCAACTGTTTGTCGGCTTCCCTTCATTCGAGTGTACTCTGAATTCTATCTTTAATGAGGCAGAAGTCGGTCAGTGGACCCTCTTCAAAATGCTGCTTGCTATTTGTCTCAATTAACTGTTCAAAATTTCATCGTAAGTTCAGACTGAATTTTAAGATGCGGATCATTAAATTGTGTGAGGCTAACTCCTTGCGAATGCGTCAGAATATGCGGCAGGGAGGAGGATCTTGGGTCTTAACAAGTTTTATTGTCAGCTTTTACAAATTGATTATGTCTAGGTGTAACGCTACTGAAATACTTGAACTAAAATCCGCATCGTCGTTGATTGATGCACGCTTTGGGCCCATCCAGTCGCCTCAGACATTTCCAGTGAGTGAAAAGTATTGGTGCGCATTTTGGCGTTGGAGCTGGAATTTCATACCTTGTTGTTTGCAGATAAGGGGCGGGAATACTCAGGTTCTGTTGTCGTCGATGCTAATTCTTGAACAAATATAGAACTCAAGAATATCTAAACAACAATTTAATGAACCGTCACATAAGATTAGATTAGCAATGTTGAGAGAAGGGAAATAACCACTTTGTATGGCAGCTATCTGAATGAGTTATAAGATAAATAGGATGTTTCTTTAAAGCTGCCCCTTTTCCACAGCACAAACTCCTCGTCATCGGTGAATTAGTAGAGCTCTCAACGACACTATTAAAGGCACAATCCAAGGAAATCTCAGAAGTATGGCCCCAATCTGAAAGTAATAATAAAGGAAAATAAGACTATCGGTCGGTTACTGAATTTGAATGCGAAATATTCGTGCAACCGTACGCAAAGTGATTCATCAAGTTCACATTGTTGGGATGATTTCCTCCAAAAATTTTATTTGAAGGACCTAAAAGCCACAAATGGCAAGTACTGAGTGCATTTACATTTGCCGTTGGTAAGTCGTTTACAAAAACACCAAAATGTCTACTATGGACTCACTTATTTCCAGTTTTTGACTTCCTGATATTCCATATATCATTTGGGTAGCTTTGAATGAATAGAACTGCATCAGCAATCTAGCTCGTGGGTCGCAAAGAAAGCAGTTAATTCACAGGTATTCTGCCCAAAGCTGTAAAACTGACAAGTCTTTGGCATGGTAGCCTTATTTAAGACCCAATATGTCGTATGTCGGGCATTTCTTGGTCATTTGTACAATAAATGGCAAGGTATCCTTTCAAAGTAGAAACCCAAATACATATCAGAAAAATTTGGTTCATTCCTCATTCTTTGTAGTTCTTATCGATGAAACTCCTATTCCCGTATCATCATCCCTTTTCTGCTTTAAAAGGAAACATTTACAGGATTCACGTTAAAATGGAGAATTGAAGGAAGTAATTTCCATATTTTATCAGGTTAAATATTACGGTTTTCAATTTTCTTAGATTGCGAAAAGGCGATCAGTTTGGTGGCTTTTTGTCCCCTTCGGTTAATCCAACTAAACGCGTGTGATATATAAAGAACGCGATCTTACGATGGATTGCAGTGGAATAGTGAAGACTACATTTATTTGTGTTTTTAATTGATGTCAAAACTATAGTGAACATAAAATAGCTAAAGAAGATCAAGTTTGGGATCACTTATTTTATGAAATATTCTCTCTAACGGGCACAACTGGGTGAACACACTTTATCTATGCACCACTTCACTCACTGCCACGCCAGGCCTACACTACTTTGCTATTCCCTCCATATTATCCTTCTCCGCACTCACTTCTCCATTCATCACTCTCGTCTACTCCTCCTCCTTCAACATGCATTTGCGGTATTCAGCTTTCACCTCTCCACCAATCCGCTGCTGGATATCACGACCACCACCTCCGTTTCGGCGGAACCGACGGCTAACCGAAGACGCCTCTCGTTCCACTCTCCCCTAGCACACCTAGTAACTCAGCCGGCTCTGCCGCTGCTACTATTGCTACCCCCTCCGACCACGCCCCCTTCCCCAAAGGGAATGCAACTTGTGGTAGATGCAGGAAATATACTCTTGCAGCATTTGTGTGGCAATCTCAATTGGGGCATACTCTCAGTAGACAGCCTTACACGATGAGCAAGGCAAGCGACACACTCATGCTACTCATTTCGGATCCAAACAACCACTAGAACTTGGAGAGAACAGCAAATGTTTGGGGAGCATTAACAAATGCCGATGCATTTTCTCCAGGAAAAAAGCCATAACATGTCATTAAAATGCAGTAAAATCTCTATTCTCATATACAGAAAGGGCACTCACCACCACATCGGGTTAAAGTTAATAATGTCCCCCAGGGTTTTATGTTACCGCACTCAACTCCTTCATCTCCAGTGTATTTTTAAAGTGCCTATTGTAGACGTCGATTCCATCCAACATGAGAATGTTTTACGGTGACGAAGACGTCTTCTTGTCGCTCCCACCAACCTAATGTCAATCACCAGACAGCAATGAAGACGCACCTGCTTTAGAAGTAGACATTTCCTCATCATTTTCTACCCCTTTCAAAACTGCAATCTCCTCTGTGGCCAGACAACTCATATATCCTACCTCGCGAACGTGACATTATGGCACATTTCACTCATTTCCTGCATGGAAGAAAGAAGGATTTGATCCTGATGTGTTTACATATACATGGAAGCATGCAGTTCCGCAACTAATTTGCCAGTCCTTCCGAAAGTCAACGTCAAATCTGTAAACCAATTACCAATGGCTTCAAAAAGGAACCCAGCCGATACATTCGTGATAACGCGGCACAATATGCCAAACACAGATCGCTCACTGCTTCCATTAAGGCTTTAGGGAAGGCATGAATATCCAATAGGGCAGACCGATAGCAATAGCAAAACAGTGCCTACCGTAAATGGCTAAATCTGTCCAAGCCCCAGAGAAGGCCAGCCTCACTCCACCTTCAAGTCCTGCATCATAGCCAGTACAAGAAAAGGACGACCAGTGCATCAACCTTGATCCCGATACCCAAACGCAATGCCTTACCATGCTCTAAGAAATTGCAAAGGATTCACGTGGCTGAACAGCAGCAAATAGGGCAGCTGAGTAAACACAGCGAATGGAACCAAATCCAAACCCGATTTTCTTCACAGCCATCTCGCTTTGCATACAACATTAAATTAGATTCACTGGAAATGCAAATACCACCAAAGAGCGAGTGACAACATGTAGGTGGTAGATGTGGAATATTGCCTACCCTGTGACACTCACTAGTAGGAGGCGTCTAAGCCAAATCGATCACCACAGTTCAGATGCTTACGTTCTCATCTGACACCGTACATTGTCGTCTTTCCACTGACTCAAATGTTCCTCTAACTGAGAGGATCTCACATCCCAACACATCACCCTGCAACATGGTCTGCCGAAACAAGCACAAACTGATATGCAACACACGTCACACACTCGTGACGTGCACTCACATAACGAGATGTAGGAATCAGCAGTGACATTAGCGGTGATGGGTTAAGTAATATGAAGCAGTGCGGTTTGCAAACGGATAAATGGTAAGCACGCCCCACCACCATCCACAAGATATCCCACAAACAATGAAAATTCGTAGTCTTCTCGCTGCAAACAGGTGAAAATGAAATTTACTGAACTTGAACGTCTGCATTTAGCAAGGCCGTAATTCAAGTACTCACCCAGTCTCCAGAAGGTGCATTTCCCATTTCTAATGCAGTACTTTAGTGGAACGAGGTACAAATAGTGCATATTTGTGGGCAGTAATGGGGATGTTTGCATCAAATGTCTCCTCACATCCATGAGCATTCGGAGACGAGGGTTGGAATTTCGTAGATGGTTGTTTAAGCATCGACTACGGTGTAATGATTGACGCGTAACGTTGTTCAAGGTAATCAGCATTCTATTCAAGAACGTGAAGCGGTGGCACGGCACTCGAACAACGCTATTACCCACTTGGCTTTTCTGTCCAGAAATTAAGCATTATTTTCACAGCATTTTGCCCAATTCAGGAAAAATCCTAATGATCCCATTGCTATGAAAGTCAGCGGAAACAACAGCCATTTATCTGCTTTAACAGGTTGGATAAATAACGATTGAAAAGAAGTTTTAAATCTTTCGATAGCACATGAGAAGCCTCAAGCTGAGGTACTGCATCAATGTATAGCGAAAAAAGAAAAAAAACATCAAATCTAATGCTACGGAAATCACTTTGTATTCAGATTAGTCACCGTATTGTAGTCGTTGTATGCGCTAAAGGCGTATTTGATACATTCGTCCATGTCACAATTGCATCAGTCAAAAAAAACTAAAAAAGCTTGTGAAAAAATTTAAATTGCATAATATACAACAGTTCTGAACAAACCTATCTAATCTTAAAACTGAGTGAAATTTTATGTTATTTCAAACAAATGAAGCCCTTGAACCTAGAATAAATTATTGTAGGATCGCCTGCTAATGCCTAGGTTATACACTATTATGTTTTAAATGTTATAATTAAAAAAAAAAAACAAAAAACCATGTGTTTATTTACCTATGAATGTGCCATTTAAATTAAATGTAGCGTCCCGGGACTCCCTGAAGACGAAAGAAGAC